GTGCAACCTTAGGTGCAAATTCGATGTTACTAATGTAAGAATAACTTCATCCCGGAAATCAATTTAAAAGAAAAAGGGAAGAAGAAGAAAGATAAGTAGATGAACTCATAACAATTAATTAATAAAATTTCATATATAAACATATGAGTCTCTAATTAGGTATTAAGATTGAAACTAATCTGAGACTTAGTTTAGAATTAATGATTTTTAAATTAACATTTATGTGATGTCCTGTTTCAGTTATTTCTGTGGCTCTCTGTGGACATTGATAAGTCTACCGAATTATTCAAAAAAAGCTTGGTAATGACTTGTATGTTCCTTACCGATGCTTTGTTTTTACCTTTCACGTCATAAAGTTTTGCGTGAAAGACCCACTACTGTATTAGGTATAATTTAGCACACCATTAATGCATGGTAATGCAAAAAGATTACGTGTTGTGAAAGTTAAACGTGTAATATTGATACAAATTATGTAATATTTAAAAGGAACGTAGGGAAGACTGGTATGATACGGCTTTCAATGGTGTTAATTTAGTAATTAGTTATATATTACCTACCTAATTAAAATTTTTTTTTTTTTCTTGTCTTCAGATCCTAGCGGCTCCAGTAACTGAAAGAAAAGTAATAAAGGGAATTCACAGTTGTTTCATCACGAAGAAATCAAGTTTTAACTCCTAAATTTCAATGCTGGCGACGCCGTTTTCAACCAAATGTTATTATTAATCACCATTTTCTTATTTTAAATCATGCCCTAATACCCTTATTAGTAAATTAATAACAGTTTTTACTATTGGTTGCATAAATATTAGTGTCATATTTACTTGGCCGATTCATTCAATCAACAAAATAAACTTCACCTACGACAAATCATATAGGTTAGATTACGCTAATTATATCAACAGTAATCAATGTCAAAGCCAAGACATCGTTCTCCTGCTCTGCACAAATCCAGAAACTCTTTTTAATATTGACCCTGGAAACTCCGGTCCAGTGGGGTATCCTATATGATATTGATGATCTTTTGATTGTATATTATGAAGCTTCCCTTGGTTTTCAAGGTCTGGACGATATTGTTTTAGTAATCTCTGTAGTTATAGTTCAATCGGACCACCAAGACATCTTTCTCCTACTACTTACAAATCTAGGGACCTTTAAATGCAAATAAATTTTCATGGCTAAGTTCATTAATCTGTTGATCACAACCAATAGTCATAATACTTAAAAGATCTAGAAAAAGAAAACAAAAATAATCACCACTGAATGCTCTGATGGTAAAAGAATAAATGAAGATCTCATATGGTTTTTTAAGTTCTAGTCTCCACAACTGCAAATAGGGATGATTACTAGAGTTCTTACCTGATCGGTAGTTCCAAGGTCTTGGGAGTGGTCTCCCAAGTTTGGTAGTTGCAAAGTCTCGTGTGATTAATTATCCCCATGACTACCGGGATTAGTTATTCCCACAACTGTTAATAGGAGTGGTCATTGAAGCCAGAGTCTCAAGGGATTAGTTGTCCTTACAATTGTGAGGATTGGTTGTCTCCACGACCCCTAATAGGGGTGGTCATTGAAGCTCTTACCCGGGTTAATAATTTCAAAGTTCTAAAAGATTAGTTGAGGTAGAAACTGACCTAAACACCCCAATCATTAAAAAAAAAAAAAAAAAAGTAAATTAAATCACTAAGTTATCATTAGATAATTTCTTCCGACTTATATAATGCCACTAGTTTTTGTCCACAGACACGTTAAATTCAGGCTCCATTACTAAATTAGACAAGAATTAGCTCAAAGTTTGAGAAACTGTCATTACTAACCACTAAGCAGCAACTTCTAGAGAAAAGACTATAACCCCTATGACGGCGACACCTTTATAATTTTACATGATCAGTCCCACTATACTTACTCACCATCTTACTAACCATCTTACTATCCTTTGTAAATATAACGCATAGTACTGGTACTATACGCATAGTACGGGTACCATGTAAAATTTTAACAAAGGTTGTATGGCAGTTAGTACAAGTGGTGAGTAAGCATAGTGTTTTTCTTACATGATTTATACGCTTGCTTGAGTAAGCCAAATCCTTCTACCCATTGTTCAAAACCTTGTAGAGGAGACCTAAGGTTTCATAATTCCATTGAATGCTATTCCATTCCACAGATTGGGTTCCAGGAAAGACCTAGAGCCAATAGCTTGCTGGTTTAATACTAGCCACATCAACTGTCGGTTCTCTAAATTAATTAAGAAGGTGAAATATCAAGGAAGACCCAGGTCCATATCACTTGTGGAGAAAGTCAAGTATGTTTGGAACTAATTCTTTGCCGTTACATCCCGGAAACCAGACAGAAGGTCTTCTCTTGATAGTAAAATTTGAAGCTTCCAGTGGTGTTCAAACCATGCTTAATTAACACCCATTTTTATTATTATTATTTTTTTTTCTTTTCCTGGACGGGGATTCTTGTGTCCTAAAAGAATTTCATACATCAGTGTCCCTTAAAATTCATGAATCCTGATTGGTTTAGCTCACTGAATATTAGTTCAAACTAAAGCCTGAGAAATATGGTAAGTACCATAACTGATTCTCCATGACCATGAGAGACATGTAAATGAAGTAGCCATAAATATCCATGTCTGCGCTTTACTGTTCCAAACCCCACCCGGGGAACCAATTTCATATTTCATCCATTAACAGGTTCCATGAAAATTGTTACTCGACCGATAGACTCGACATGAAGCTAAATTTGGGCTGCGATTTTCTGGAAGGTCAAAGGAGAAATTGTTAGTATTGAGTGGTATCTCCCTTCAAATCAACCAGCTCTCTTAAGTCAATTAAATGGTGCATTTAAGAGTAATCCTTCGACATTTTTCATCGACTTTCTTCTCTTAACCAATTGGTCCAAACCCATGTGTCTAGTAAAATTTTCAAAACCATGCAGAGGGGAGGAGACCTAGTTAATATCCTTTGATATTGCCATTGATAAAAACGTGAACTTCAATTTCCCTCATTGGACCCCAGAGCTTGCAAGTAGGAAATAACTTTCCCAGAAAATTAATCCAAGAACTGCGACTGGAATTTGTGAGTCTCCAAATTGATTAATATAAGAATGAAGTAAAACCACGACCCAGGTCCACAGAATTAAAAAAATCAAGTATGCTTGAAAACTCTTCGTAGTATTGACCCTGGAAACTCCGGTCCGGTGGGGTATCCTATCTGATACAGATGGTCCTTTGATTGTAAATTATGAAGCTTCCAGTGGTTTTCAAGGTGTGGAAAATACTGTTTTTATTCCAAAAAAAACGATTCTTGAGTTCCTGATTCTGAATTTCTGATTGGTTTTCTTATTATTTAAAAGAAAATCCACAAATCAACAAATTCTCACCCAACCCAAAGTCCTTAAGAGAATGGCAAATTATAAACCAGTTGGTGGCTACGTATCGCTAGCGTCTCAATCATGATTTGGAATTTTTCTTCTCCAAAATCAGAACAGAACTCCAGTCACGTGTAAACTAAATTATATGCCATATGGAATTTGGCTGCAAAGGGCCAAAGTTTACATTTAGGTCCACACAACAAGACACATGGAACAGTTTTTCTTGGAGTTAGCAACTTTTTTTCACCCACACAATAGTTTAATGACACTTTTTTGTCAGAATTTTAAAATATCATTTTATTACTCAATTTATATTCCGATGACAAACAAAAAGTAAACTCAGTCCAGTTATTAGGACTTTTGAAGAGGAGAGATCAATGACTCTTTTGAGGTAGAAGGTTAGATTTTGATGTTAAGACTGATCATAATTTAATTAGGAGGGACAGATACAAACCTTAATTGCTCGATTACCGACGATTGGCAAGATCGACAGGGTAGGGTTTAAGAAGTTTTAGTGAGTGATGATTCAGGAAGAAAATGATGGTGGTTTGGGGTGCTACGATGCCGGAATCGGAAACAGAATATAAATTTGAGTATAAAGTGGTATCTTAAAAATATGTAGGTGGGGAAGTGTTATTAAGCAATTATTTGGGTGGGAAAAATCGTTTACTCTTTTCCTTGGGGTTATTTCAAGTTTGATAGTGAAACTAAAATTTCTATTTTCTTGTGCCTGTTTGCAAGATCCCATCAATCCCCCCTTTTTTTTTTTTTTTTTTTTGCGGTTAATTTGAAGATAATTTGTTGTGATCCTAGTGTGACTGTTTGTAGGTGTCATACATTAATTAGTGAACTTGTTTTACAAATCACATAATTGAACTTTGCTTACAAAACAAATCCTCATTTGATTTTCATATGCCCTTCTCGTTAATTCCTTTACCCAATTGATCGAAAAGAAATTGATACGTTAAATAATTAATTAAAATTAAAGATGTAAATTGGTAAATGAAAACTTTGTGTACAAACTCAATAGAAAATTGGAGGACGAAAGTGTGTTAGCCCCCTCATGAAATATTTTCACATATTACACTATTAAATCATACAATTAAATATTAAACTCGAGTTAAACAATCAAGTCTAGCATAGTTTAGGGTTATATATTAGGAATCAATCAAGATTGGCTCACAAACTCTCTCTCACAAACCCTATAAATTTTAAATTTTAGGAAATTCATCAGTAAAAAACCGAAAACTGCCACCTAAGGGTTGTGAGAGAGAGTTTGTGAGATTGGATTGTGAATATAATATTGCCTATTAGAAATATATCATATATTGTTTCATTAAGAGTATAATTGATAAATCACTGGATTTTACGATGAGAGTTGTCCTTTATATAAAACTTGGAAAAATGTGATTATTGAATTGGGTTATAATGTCCATACCCCCAAAATAAGTGGCAAATTGTTTTTCTAGTTTATACTGGTGGGTTATGTAATGATGGGCCCAACTGCTGAAGTTAGCCCAGTTTATTTTGATTTGGGCCAGTAGCTTGGGTGGGTCTAAGGCCTGACCCGTTGGACCGCCTCTTAAGTCTTAAACTATGCAAGAGGGAACCGTTGGCGCTCCTTCCTCATTCAAAACTTGAAAATCTTAGAACACCATTAACCTCTCTTACGCTTTCACTTTATACTCGTTGCAATGGATCTCCGCTCCTCTCCCATTCCGAGTATGAAAAATCTCTATCTCCCTGAACTTATAAATTGTATTTTTAATTTGGTTTGTTTACAAATTATTGTTCTTAATTCTTAAAATGCAGGCAAAACACAGCCCGTAAACCCGAAAAGTACCCGGAAGAGTATAGTTGATGTACCAAAAACCAAAACAAGGGAACCAAACATTTCTAGGTATACGTTCTATTTCTTCTTCTTCTTCTTCCTGACAACATGTTTTCTGTTTCCCTAAAACACGTTTCCGCTTCTCCGTTTTCAGGCAGAAGCGTGTATTTGGAGCTGCTAAAAACACAAACATCCCTAAAAAAGAAATACCAAATAATCATTTGAACAAACCTTCTATAAGGTTTCCTCAAAAACAACCAAAGCCAATTGCTTCAACAAAGAATGTAGCTACAACTGCAAAAACTGATGAGATTTCTAGAAAGACTTCCCCTAAAAAGGGACAGCCAAAGTTGAAGAAAAGGGGGTTTTGCGTTCAAAATCAACAAAACATTTTGCAACAAGAGAATGTGAAAAGTGTTGTTAGTCCAAGGACTCCAGTGGCGTCGCCTTCTTTAATTAAGAGTAACAAGGCTGAAAGCACGCCGTACCGCACTGCAGAGAAGTGCAGCAAATGCAGATTTGATAGGCTTGAGACTGCGTCTTATTGGCTCGGACAGATCAAATTGGCCGAGTCAGTTGGGAAGCATTTCGTTTCCGCTGCTTTCTTCAGCCTCGCTTTTGAATCAAGAGCTGAGGTTTGCTTCTGAATTTTCTTGTTATTTTGGGAAAATTGAGTATCATGTTAACGGTATAACAAAGTCAGTATAATTCTTTCTGATTTATTTAACAATCAACTAATGATTTTCAAAATGAATATATGTATGGCATGAATTGACAGACTTGTGTGGGTAATGTATTATGTCAGCCTATCAGAAACCTTGGCATAGAACTTAAGCGGTACTTGGCACGACACCGATTCTTATCTACGCAGAGAGAGTGGAGAGATGTTTCTCTAATGTATAAATTACAGAAAGAGGAAGACAAAGGCAGAATTTCAGGTATTGAAGAAGATGGCGAAAGCAACATCAACTTCGGCTGCTGTGATCAGTGCCAGATCAATACTTTCAACCCCTGAAACCAATTTGTAGCCATGAAATTGGATAATTAAGGCATGTCAATTGCTCTTGTGTGTTTTCAGGTATGGTTTTTCTGTAAATTGAGATTTGTAACATTGTATTTGTTGGGATTAACCTTGCCTTTTTGTGTATGAAGTGTATATGACACTTTTCCTTTACATATATATTTATCAATTTTATGTATTCTTATTAAATTTGTGTTGAAATTTAAGAAAACATGTATGTATTTGCACAACGAAGCTACGGACACCAGCATTTTTGCACCAAAAATGTGTACCGGCTTACGTGTCCCCTTGACTCACACCAACAATCCAGACGCGTGATTAAACAATAAATATTTTTCTAGTGAACGGCGGCCATTCACTTACATGGACTCCCGTCTATATTATATGGATGGGGGTCCATTTACTAAGGACGAACGTCCCCATTTAAAGGACGTCCATCCATAAGTAAAATGCAATAAAATATTTTTATAAAAATTAGGGATGACTGTTCATCCGTTATGGACAGCCGTCCATTCATTTTGGACGGGCACCCACAAATAAGGGACGCCCGTCCTTAACCCAAATATGAAAATTAAAAAAAAAAAATTGGGGACGCCTGTCCATAAATTGTGGACGAGCGTCCCTTACGTTTGGATGGGCGTCCGTAAGGAATTGACGCCTGTCCCTTACATTTGGATGGACGTCCGTAAGGAATGGACGCCCGTCCCTTATTGTGGTTATGGACGAGGGGCCACATACAAAGACGCATGTCCATACTTTTAAAAAAAAAAAAAAAAAAAAATTCTAAACAAAAATAGCAAGCCCCTCTTCTTCTTCGCTCTTCTTCTTCATCTTCATTCCCCATCTCCTCTCTTCTTCTTCTTCTTCTTCGTCTTCTTAGTGATTCTGTTGATGATCTGGATAGATTGACTAGAGTTGAAGATAATGAGGTTGTTGTGAATGGTGATAAACCATCCGAGATTCGCCCAAGTTCTCAGTTGCCAACCTTTTCTGGTGCATTCACATCTGCTCAGGTGAGAGATATATTTGATATGGAAATGGATCAGGATAATAATTCTAATAGGGATGGAACAAGCACCATATTTGGGGAAACTGAGAGTATCTCTGTTGTGGAAGTAATGAAAAGTCTAGTTTTCAGTGAAGATGAGTCGTCAGACAACTCATTGTGGATTGATTTGGGTCAGAATCCGTTGGGGTCTGATAATGTTGGGCACTTGAACAAACACCAAATTGCCTCTCGCTTACCACCTTTTTGGTTCAGTGGCAAGAAAAACCACAAGCGACTCTCTCCAAAGCCAACATCAAAGATGTATGATAGCCCAATTTATGATGACAAAGGGGTAAACCTGGGGCCAAATGGTGACCACCATGTGCTCTCATTTGATGTTGCCATTCGATCAGTTTCGCAGGAATTGGACCATGTGAAGGAAGAGAGTCGACCACCATGGGCACTTGAACAAACTTCAAAGTTTTTATTTATTTTTTAAAACCACAATAAGGGACGGGCGTCCATTCCTTACAGACGCTTTTCCAAACGTAAGGGACGGCTGTCCACAATTTGTGGACGGGCGTCCCCAAAGGTTTTTTTTTTTTAATTTTCATATTTTGGTTAAGGATGAGCGTCCCTTATTTGTGGGCGCCTGTCCAAAATGAATGGACGGCCATCCATAATAGATAAACGGCCGTCCCTAATTTTTATAATAATATTTTATTACATTTTACTTATGGACGGACGTCCTTTAAATGGGGACGCCCGTCCGTAGTAAATGGACCCCCGTCCATATAATATCGACGGGAGTCCATGTAAGTAAACGGCCGTCCATATTTAATAGACGGCCGTTCACTAAAAAAATATTTATTGTTTAATCACGCGTCTGGATTACTAGTGTGAGTCAAGGGGACACGTAAGCCGGTACACATTTTTAGTTCAAAAATGCCGGTGTCCGTAACTTTGTTGATATTTGCAGGGGTTTTATACAAACTCTCTTATATAAAATTATATCTGAAAGAGTTGTTGATTATGAAAAGAACATCGTTGAAGTTGTTGGGTAGTCAAGCATATTTAATATTTAAATGTGTAAAAGATTTTGCTCAATCTCAATTGCAACCTGTTGAGGTGCCTACATAAATGAAAATTTTGTTGGAATTTTCTTTTAAGTAACCTTCAGGGGAAATTGCTTGTTACATTTAAAATGTTAATAAATACAATCCTGGTCCAATGAATGATATTAACAAGAAGTTGATGGGTCTTTTTGGTCAGACATATGTACATCACTTGTTCTTAAATCTTTTTCAAAATTAATATAAAGTGATTACATGAATATAAGTCTTTTATGAGTTTTATATTTAGAGTTAACGAATTCTTTCCCACCTAAATAATGGTTTAATGACACTTTCTTATTCATAGACTTTTAAAATATTACTTTATTACCCAAATTTATATTTTGGTTGCAAACAGATAGCAAATTCGGTTTAGGCTGTTGAGATTTTTGAAGAGGGGGTGCCGATGAGTCTTTTGGTGGTAGAAAGTTGGATTTTGATGGTTGGGATTGATTAGAATTTGACTTAGGAGGAGCAGTTACGTAAACACTAATCACTCAATTATCGGTGATTGGCGGGAGTAACGTTTGAGAAGTTTTTGTGAGTGATGATCGAAGAAGAAAGTAGTGATAATGTGAGGTCACAACGATATCATAATTGGATAGAGAATATAAATTTAGATATTAAAATAGTAATGTAAAAGTCTGTGGACAGGAAAATATCCATAAATCATTATTTGAGTGGGAAAAAAATCGTTTACTCTTCTACTTATTACATAATATCATTAAAGGTGTTACATTGATGTATCATAAATGCTTTGATTACTAATAATTGAATATTAATTAAAAGCTTTGATTGAAATCGCTTCAAATAAGCATTAATTAATTTGTTTCTTTCCCCAGTAAGACTTAACCCAAATAAGTATTGCAAGTCTATTCTGTTAGTAGTATGATTAGGGCATCAATGAAATAAAAAGATAAAGACATGTTTCATTTCCAAATTAAAAATATACAAATAAAAGGAATTAATTAATGTTGTCGTGTCCCACTGACATAAATTTGGTCAGATGAACAGAAGACGTCAAATGGAAAGGAAACCCAGTGCATAGAGATAGAATGGTCAAATTTGACTGGAAAATATAAGCTAACTCATACGGCTTATATTTTGTGAACATTTCGTTGTCATGTGGAGCCACTCAACCCAAGCTTAGGGCTTAATTCATGCCCCTTTGCAATTTGTACAATAAGAACTACCCTTGCCCCACCGATACCTCCATATCCACTCAATTCAATCACAACAACTTTTCCAACCAGATAATATTCTGGCGGCAAACAGAAAGTTAATCCATACTGTTGGAGCTTTTAAAAAGGAGGGTGATAAATTTTTTTGTGGTGAAAGATTGTATTTTGTTGATTGAGATTGATTAGAATTTAACTTAGGAGGGGCGACTACGCAAACCTTAATCGCTTAATTACCGGTGATTGGTGGGATCGACGACAGTATTGTTTGAGAGGTTTTTATGAGTAATGATAGAGAAAGAGAATGATGGTGGTGTGAAGTCAGCGAGAGTAGGGTTTGAAAGGTTTTAGTGAGTCATGAACAAGAAAGAGAATGATAATGGTGTGAGGTCGCAACAATGTTAGAATCGGAAACGAAATATAAATTTGGGTAATAAAGAGGTATTTTAAAAGTTTGTGGATAGAAAAATGTTATCAAGCTATTATTTGGGTGAGTAAAAGTCGTTTACTCCATAGAAATAACAAATGGTTGTGAATCAATGCAAATGAAGACTTACAATTCAGGGTGTGTTTGGTTCAGAAAATATTGGATTACTGGGAATGTTGGATTACTGGAAAGTTAGATTACCTTGAAGATTACTAGGAATCTTTAGGAAAATGTGTTTGGTTAGGTGGAATAAATTAGTTGGTATGTTTTATTAATATATTTGGTTGGGAGGAATAAATTGGTGGGTATAGTATGTAAATTACTGAATTGTCCTCTAATTAAATATTATTATTATATTATTTTTTAATATTGATTATTATTTAGATTATATAACCCATAACCCAGCCACAGTCGGCTGCCAGCAACCACCGCAAGCTGTCAACAACCTAATGGCACACGAAAGGCAGGAAATGGCCTCCGTGCGTCTTATGGCCATTTCCGGCCAAAGATCTAGTTGTCAACGGCCAGATCCGTTGATTGATGGCTGTTAACAGCCATGTCTATAGCCCTTAACGGCCATCAATCTGGCCATCAACGGCAGATCAACGAATCTGGTTGTTGACAGCCAGATTAGATCTGCTCGTCAACTCACAATCTGGCCATTTTCGACCAGATATCTGGCTAGAAATGGTCATATCGACGCAGGACGGCCATTCCGGCCTTCCATGTACCTTTACGATGTCGACGACGACTGGCCACGCAATGGTTGCCGGCGACAGGTGGGTGGGGCCTGTGGGGGTAGTGGTTTGGGTGGGCTGCAATTTATTTTGAATTCAAGGGTAATTTTATCTAAAAAGTTAATTAATTTGGGTGAAATAATAAAAGCAACATTCATGTAAATAAATTTAAAAATAAGGGCATTATTGTCCTAAAATTTTATTAATAAGGGATATAATTGTAATAAAGAAAAATTACCTTGATAATCTTACAATACCTAAGAAAATAGAGGTAATCAAGTTACTTCTAATATTACTAATAATAACTACTATTGGTATTTAAAGATTACCAAAATCTTATTAAGTAAGGTAAAATGATACCCAATAATCTCACGTTACCGCAACCAAACGCCACCTCAAAACAAACTCGTTCCCAAAAGCAAGGGTGCCCCAGGTCGTCCCACTCTCCCATGTCGGCATCTGGATATTAATATATAAAGGATATAATATTAGTTTGTGGAAAGCATTTAGATAGGACCTTCACCGGTGCAATTGAATTTGAATAGACTTAAGTTCAATGGCAAAACCGCCAAGTCTAGTAAGATTTGTAGTCTCAAAAGTTGAACGCTTCAACTTTTTTTTTCTCTTAAGTTGATCTTCTCTTCTTCAGAAATATGTTCTGGTCTAGCTAATTACGTATACCCTCGGCTATGTTTTTCTTTATTAATGAAGTCTCTTAATTTCCCTGGATGCTGAAAGAATTCATTTAAGTAAACAACATGGCAACCGGAGGAGGAGCAACAACTTCTCGTTCTCTGCAAGTCACACCAACCTGGGCTGTAGCAACCGTCTGCTTCATCTTCATCTCCTTCTCTATTTTAATCGAACATTTGATTCATCTCCTTGGCAACGTAAGTCTCATATTCAATGTTATAATTTAGTTAGAATATGATTATTGCCTCATTTTGTGATATTATAATTATTAAATGCAGTGGCTTAAAAGAAAAAGGAAGACTGCCTTGTTTGAAGCTGTGGAGGGGCTTAAAACAGGTATTCGTACATCTTCTTGTCAAACTATATTTAAGATAAAAAAAAAAGGGATGGTTTTGTTTCAGTATTTGTAATATTGTATTTGTGTTGGTTGGTGCAGTTCTCATCGTCTTAGGGTTCATGTCTCTAATTCTTACTGTAAGTCAGAGATGGATTTCGAAAATCTGCATCCCCAATAAAATTGCAAACACTATGCTCCCTTGCCGTCAAACTACACAGACCAAAACCACAAAAGCATTAGCATATCATGAACATGTATGGATTGATTCTTTGCAAGGAAGAAGATTGGCTGCAAGTGATGATGATACAAGCGGATCTTCTGATTATTGTGCCTCTAAGGTTGAATTTTAACTATTTTAATCAATCTGTGTTTGGTTGTGTAATTAGTAAATTAGTTTGGTATTGTTTTGCAGGGAATGACTTCTCTAATATCACAGGAAGGACTAAACCAGCTGAGCATCTTCCTCTTTGTGTTAGCTGTGATGCAGATTGTCTACTGTGTTCTCACAATGGCTTTAGGAAGAGCTAAGGTAATTGCATTATTTTATTTTTATTTGATTGGTCACTCAAATCTGCTCACACTTACGTAATGTAAGACAATATTATAACCCACTTGAGTAGCTAGTATTCAATATAATTTATTAAGCAACTATATAGTTTTGACTTCTTGAGCTCATTTCATTAATGTGTTTAGAACTTTGGATCTCGTGTGTGTAACTTGTGGTAGATATATATGAACACGTAATTGTATGGTCATCCATTCAAGGAATACGTGGGAAAACAGTTAGAATTTTCATTTTAGACTCTATTTAGAGTAAATGATTTTTTTCCACCCCAGGTTTGCCTTAACGATCTTTCTTACCAAAAAGTTTTAAAATACCACTTTTCTACCCAATGTTTATATTCTCTTAACACCCAAAATACACTTCACTTTCTCAATTGGCATTCAGCGAGTTACCAAGAGCCAGGGTAAGAGGGTCTTTGTAGTCTGGAGGCCGATTGATCAAATGATGATGACCGATTGAATATTCGTTGTTAGAAGTAACTAGAAATCAGTTAAAAATAGAAAACCCTAGCTTTGCGGTGGTAAAAAATCGGTGAGAAATCAGGTTTCGGAGTAAGAGAAGTTTTGTAGAGAGGTGACCAAAAATTCAAATGGTAGTGACAAAGATAATTTTTGTTATCGGAATCAGCTTTGGATAGTAACATAATATTAATATTGGATGAGAAAGTGGTATTTTAAAATTTTTTGGGTAAAAAATACCACCATTAAGGCAAACATTAAGTGGGAAAAAGTTGTTTGCTCTACATATATTGTTCAAATCAAATTCCCATATCCTTTGGTCAAGTATGGAAAACTAAGCAATTAATTGCAAGTGTACATTTGATACCGCATATCTTGACTAATTGACCTGAGGAGACTTTCTCATACTTATTAACTCTCGTACATTTGAAGGTTCAATAAAGCCTCTCCAGTCTCCGGTACTAAAATATGAGCAATGTGTTCAATATATATGAGAGAGTATCAAGCCCGAGTCAGCCAGTCAGGAGGGTTAAGCAGTCTAGAATACAGCACCATTGTTTTTCTAATTTTCAATAAGAGTAAACGACTTTTTTCCACTCAAATAATGATTTAAGAACATTTTTTCACTCATCGACTTTTAAAATACTAATTTATCATCCAAATTTATATTCTGTTTCTAATTCCGACATCGTTATGATCTGACACCACTACTATTCTCTTTTCCGATCATCACTTACCCAAACCCTACTCCCGTCGACTCCGTCAATTACCAGCAATTAAGCAATAAGGGTTTGCACAACCGCCTCTCCCAAGTCAAATTCTGATCAATCACAACCATCAAAATCCAACATTTTACCATCAAAAGACTCATCAGCCTCTCTTCTTCAAAATCCCCAACAGTCTGGATCGAGTTTGCTCTCTGTTCGCCGTTAGAATATAAATTTAGATAATAAAGTAGTATTTTAAAAGTCTGTAGATAAGAAAGTGTCATTAAACCATTATTTGGGTGAGAAAAAGTCGTAAACTCTTTTCAATAAAATCTTCAAACCCGTCACCAATTTTTTTCTTTTTAATCACGAATACGAGCAATCATTCATTTCAATACCAATTTCTCTTAATAAAAATTCATTTTGTTAAAAAAAAAAATTGTAAAAGCTCTTTTTTGTTAATTGTCTTGACAGATGAAGCGATGGAAAACCTGGGAGAGAGAGACTGAAACTGTGGAATACCTGGCTGCCAATGGTATGTACATACACTGCTTTCCAGGAAATGAAAATTAACAAAATTCCTAATTATATATTGCGTTATCTGTTCATTCAAAATTTGCAGTAAGGCATACAAGTTGGTCATAGATGACAAAAGATAATTATTCTTGGAATTGAGCTGAACTTTGTGGTCTAATTTTATTTTTGTTTTTTCCTTTGTAAATTTATCTTAACAATGATGGTGTTTCATTTTAGATCCTAATCGATTTAGATATACGAGACAAACAACCTTTGCACGTCGACATATCAGTTCTTTTACAAGCACAGCACTCCATCTATGGATTGTAAGTGGAGATTTTAATTGATCTAATTAATTAAGCTCCGCTGTTATTCCATCTGTATTACAAAAATTAATTGGATGCCTGCAGAAATGTTTCTTCAATCAGTTCTTCAACTCCGTGGCAAAAGTTGATTACCTCACATTGCGCCATGGTTTCATTTCGGTTAGAATCTTATTCAAACTTTTGATCATGATCAACTTCTTTACAAAAGGATCATTAATTTCCAGTGAATTTAATTTGTAGGCTCATTTGTCCACAAACAGCTCCTTCAATTTCCAGAAGTACATTCACAGATCCTTGGAGGATGATTTCAAAGTTATAGTTGGCATCAGGTTAGTTTATTATCTCTCCTTTGCCAATTATTTATGATGAGATTAGCTAATAAATTCTTAAAAATTTTATGTTCATATATATATATATATATATATATAACATTTGAAGCTTTTCTGGACAGCCCTTTCATGTGGTTTTTAGTGGTTATTCTGATGCTCCTGGACGTGCAAGGTGAGGATGAATATCTTATTATCCTATTAATTTCTTCCAATGTTCTTCTTTTGTTTCTTTTTACAACATCAACTAATTGAAAGTATATGCATATTTAACAGGTTGGAATGTTTATCTATGGGTTTCATTTATTCCACTGACTGTAAGTATAAAAACATTCACGTTATGTTATTCATAGTTTGTGAAAATTAATTAGTTTAAAACTCTTCAATTAACCATCTTGTATTTGTAGATTGTTTTAGTTCTGGGAACCAAACTCCAAGTAATCGTTGCAAGAATGGCACTTCAGCTCAAAGATGACCACAATGTAATCAAAGGAGCCCCTTTAGTGCATCCAAACGACAATTTCTTCTGGTTCAACAACCCAGAATTTGTATTGACGTTGTTGCACTACACTTTGTTCGTGGTATGTAATAACCCCCTCCAGATTATTTCCAAAAATCTTTTTTTCATTAATTAATCCTGACTTGTTTCATGTTTCCAGAATGCATTTGAGATAGCTTTCTTGGTTTGGGTCACGGTACAACTTTCTTTGATTTTCTTCTTGTGTTTTTTTAACCCATGTTTAGATAGCTGAAAATATGATCTGATGTTTTCAATTCTTACTCTGTAGTTGCTATATGGGATTCACTCTTGTTACCATGAAAGATTAGACATAATCATTATCCGGGCGGTTCTAGCGTAAGTGCCAGTTCTCTTTCCTTCTGTTCCTACCTAAATTTCTTCCTTAAATCATTCTCAGGTTCTGCATACAAATTTTTATGACTGTTAATTCTGTCACTGTTAATTCTCCAGGGTGACAGTTCAAGTCTTATGTAGCTACATTACACTTCCCCTCTATGCTCTTGTGACTCAGGTATGCTTCTGTCTCAGTATGTGTATATAGAGGCATAGAATTTTAGGGCTTGAAATGCAAATTGTATTTTTGTTTGTACACAGATGGGATCACATTTCAAAAAGGCACTGCTGGAAGAGCAAACAGCAAATGCTATAAAGAGATGGCATGACGGAGTAAAGCACAAAAGGAAAAAACAACAGGACATGTCGCAATCTGGCCACGACATGTCATCCACTAATTTTAGCAGCAACAGAACCCTTGGTTCCCTGGATTTATCTTATCATCATCGCACGCCTATTCTATCAGACCCCGCTAGTTTTCCTGGAAAAACAGAAATTATAGAAGGTGATCAAGAAATTTCCCAAGATGGACTTGATCCAGCCATCGTTACATCAAACGAGATTCAAATAGAAAGGAACTGACATTAGTCATAACCAGGAAATTGAGCTTGTAAATTCAGTTACATTAGATGATTGGGTAGACATGTTAAGCCTTTATAAAGAAAAACTTGATACACTTGTAAATTCATGTCAAATTTTGTCATCCTTTTATATTTTTTTCCAATAGAAACTCATTGCTTGGAAGATGATCCTGGGCCTGAAACCTGATGATTAATTAGACCAAACCTGGCGAATAATTGTCTAGAGGCAAGCTAATACTGGCGCCAATTTTGGACATTTGAGTCAACTAATGTGTCAAATCACCTGCACTGATAGAGAGAACGAGGCCAAGTTAGCTCACGACAGACTTGACAACCAATAATTTAACGGTGTATCTCTCCTTATGTTAATTTCCCTTTTCACACAGGAATTATAAGGCAAGGTCTCCGTCTTTATAGCCCAAACATCATGTGAAACCCTCCCCCAGCATGCCCCCTGCCTCCCCAACCACATTTTGATTAAATTAGAGAACAACCAAACATGCCCATTTGAGTTGAAACCATTTGCCACTTCACCTTTAACTCTTATTAAACAACTCTTTGAAACTGTATCATATCAGGGTTTAAGATTTAGGGTCTTGAGATGAAAATGAGAAAGTGAACTTAACAAATGAACCACCACTAGCCACAAGGTGACCTATGGTAAAAGAGTAAAAGAGAATCTAACATAGTCTCACAAACTTGAGTCTCCTTGATAGTATAAAAGAGCAGGAAGAGGATTTAACAGAATCTCCTCAGTTCGAATCCCTACAGCCCCTAATAGGGGTGGTCACTGGAACTCTTACTTAATCAGTAGTTTAAGATCCTGAGAGATTAGTTGAGGTTAGTGCAAACTGACCTGAACACATAAAAAAATAAAAAAATAAAAACTCAACAAATGCATATAAGTTGACTAAGAGAATAGAAGTATCACAAACAAAACTATGAATCGATGACAAGCAATTTATTTACATTGCTCATCAAAATGTGAAAGTAAAGTGAAGAGACAATGATGCGTGATTTCATAAACATGCAAATGTAACAAGTATACTAGTCGCACAAGTAATAGAGTGATGAGTAGAGTATCGTTCCCACGAGGATAGTGTTACTAAGTACCGATTTCCCTAGTTTAAGTCCTAATTGAAGAAACATTAAATTAAATTGATGGAAAATTTACAACTAAATACAAATTAACAAAATATAAATGAATGATAATGAAATTAAGGCAAAACCCAACAACTTAACTAATTAAAAAATGCTAAAAAATGCTAGGGTGTTGATTTCACCTAGATACGCTAACCCAAATCATAGAATCTATTACCCAAGTTCTAATTCCTTGATTGAAAATCGAATTCCCTAAGTTGTAAAACATACCTTCTCAGGCTACATTTCCCTACTTATCCCTATTAAGCTTCCGCACTCAACAAATTGAAGATTAATAGTTCAAAGTCTTTTAAGTTTTATGGAATTCTATCTAGATTTTATAAATCGCTAAACCTATCTCTAGCATTTGCTTAATCTATGGTATTTATCCCAAGAGGCACAATCACAAATCACTTCTCGGTCTCATTATGAACAACACACATTTGAATGGTGATCAAGTATTCAAAAGTCATTAAGCAAAGAGATAAACACTAAATCATGAAATTAAAACTCAAAGTAAATCAATTCATATAAATCTGAATCATTGTATCAAGGTTACATCAAACCCTAGCTAAACAACTCAGTTCATACTAAAAAACGAAATAAAATAACAAAAACAAACTGAATCAAGATCCATCATCAAAAAACAAGCAAAAGATGGAGAAATCTTCTCTAATTTGAAGCTCAAATCTTCAATAATCTTCTCCTTCCATGAGCTGCCTCCCAAATGACGAACCAAGACCCTTTTCTCTTCCTTTTCGCTCTAATTTATACCCCTCTCACTTAAGGATCAAGCCCTAACAAGCCAGAACGCGTCGTTTTATTTTTACATCTGATGCAGGTTTTGTCGCCGCGGTAAATACTTTTGGGCCAAATTTGAGCCTAATAGAGTCTGAATCTAGAAAAATGTTAAACATATGAATTGTATCCCTTTCAATTATCTTTCTGGTCGTTCAAGAATCAGCACAATCCGAGGTCTACAGCTCAAGTTATGGCAGAAATACTGAAGTACGTCCAAAGACGTTTTTCTTCAATTCCCAGCGTACTTTTCACAACTTCAAGCCAAGTTTTCACCCTTGCCAAGTAAGAATTAGGAAAAACCCAAAACATAAAAGTTATAGCTCTTCTTCTTAGCTTTCCAAAGCTTCTAAATTCAGTTCATTCCGAGTTTCCAAGCTCAAGTTACACAATTTACGCTCAAAATTGTTATTTATACTAAAAATCATCGTTTAGGCCTGCAAAAACAAATTAATAGAATTAGGTAGCAATTATGGCCCAAATTGTATGAAAAGTATCCTAAATCCTATCAAAATTCAATGCAAAATCATAATGTAAAATATGATTATCAGACAACCAGCAAGAAAGAGATTATGAACATTTAACTCCAGAAATGTGGTTATAGTCGTGACAAGTGATAAGAAACGTGTTAAATGACTAACCCTAGAAATGAGACAGAGACAAAACTCTCATGCAAGTTGCAGGGAAGGCCCACAGCAACCCAGATCAGGCCCGAACCACATAACACAAACTAGCAACTTGTAAATGGCATCATCAAAGTGGTGTGGGACAAACAATAGTTAAAAGTAGGAGAGCCACATCCCACACTCCGATATTATCAAAAAAAAACATGTCGGCCCATTAGAAATTGGAGTGGTTAGAACTTAGAACTCAACCGTTCACCCTAATTTTGACATAAGATACATCTTTTTTCATTGCTGGGAATTAGGCTTTTGGTATGCACAAACATGGCAATTGAACTACCTCTAAGTAGCTTGACGGTTTGCTTGAGACTTTTTGGTGTATTACTCAAAAGGTCTTGAGTTCGAATCCCCACAATTACTAATAAGAGATATCTACTAGAGACTTACCTGACCGTTAACTTCAAGACCCCGGAAAACTAGTTGAGTTGCACGCAAACTGGCCTGGATAACCCCGATACAAAAAAAAAAAAATTGCAATTGTACCGAAAGATTAAGATTTTTGTAACAGTATCTAACATTGGATTTTGTATTATCCTAGTGACATTACTGATGTGTTGCTTTAGGGGTATATTTTGCAGGTTTCAACTAGATACAGAAAGTGGGGAGAAAAAATAAAAAAAACTTTTGCACTAATCTGAAATCACGACTGATTTTTAGGTAACAAAGGCTATAATTTCAACAGTCTAATAATTAATAATGATAACAACTTGATATCAAAGGCAGATGCTACAAAGACTGAGAGCAATGGTTGAAGCCGATGTTAGAGCTACTCTTTTTTAGAAATTCAAAGGAGAAATCAAATCTTGGTGAAGATATTGATGTTAATTATCCATGGAACAAGGGTCACATGAAGAGGATCACAGATTCCAATTTGTCTGGAATTGTGGGCATATATATCTTCTTGACTATGTTGGGAAACAATGACAAAACAAATTGTTTATGAAGGATTTAGGAAGGCAACATGTGAGGGAGCAAAGAACAAAAACAAAAACAAAATTCTTGGGTTTAACTATGATGGAAATTGGTGTCTAATGAGAACTTTACTATCTCAACATCATTCCCCTACACCTTTCAATTGCTGAAAACCTAATTTGTCCCCCTTTTTTTCAACCACAAATTGACCCTTTAACAATCCATCTCCCCAACTACCCTAAATCAAAATCTTCTTCACACAAGATTTAATCATCCACTTGTGACAAAAATTATATTATCATTCATCCACTCCAAATTCTGTATTGATATTCTTACTTCTATGGAAGTCTTTGTACGAGAGTTTGAAGAAGTAACCTGGGAGTGTCCGATTAGTTTACACGCATCTCAAATAATCCATCGAGACCGTGAAACTAATATCGGTCAGGTAAAAGCTCTAGTGGCTACCCCTATTAGCAATGGAGGAGAGACTCGAACTCCAAACCTCTTGAGTAATACACCCAAGAGTCTCAATCGAACCACTTGGTCACTCAGAGATAGTTAACGCAAGCTTTTTCTCTTCCACCATAAGCCAATAAACAAAAGATTGGTAAGGGCTTAAAATGGACCTCTTTGAGGCTAATAGGTGGCTAAATGGTCAAAATCTTAGCTGCATCATAAATTCTTTTTGAAGAAGTTGAACAGCATGGTTAATGGTCAAAATCTGTAGTACATATTACATAATTAGAAAGGATATAAAGAGTGTGGTCAAATGGTCCGTTTGATTTGTACCTTGAATACAAGTATTTTGTTGTGGACTTTGTTATTTGTTAAAAGCAGTTTTCAGTTCACATACCATTTCTAAAAACTATGAAAATTTTGTTCTAGCTAATTTTTTCCTAATTTGGTTGAAGGGTCTTTGGTTATCATAGATAAATGATAATAACTACTTTTAGGTGATCGAGCGGTTCGATAGAGATTTTTTAGTGTATTACTCAAGAGATATTGAGTTCAAATCCCTTGTCAGTAACTAATAAGGATAGTCATTGAATCTCTTGTTAGTTCCAAGGTCTCAGAAAATTAATCGAGGTATACATAAGCTGGTCTGAATACTCCAAAATAATAATAATAATAATAATAATAATAATTAAGGAATAATGAAAACTCATAAACCAAATCTTATCTCCAAAGTTACAAGATCTCAGTGGTGCATAATTATGTTAACGAGGTTGGCATTATCCATAGAAAATGATGACGTGTGGCCCTTAACCTTAACCTGTTTTTCCATAAAAGCACCAAATTATGCTGCTTTGTCTATAATTATTATTATGGTTGATTTATTTTTGTTTTGGATTCTTCCATTTTTATGCCCCAATTGAAGGATAGTTATTATCGGGATACCATTTGTCCCCCCTTAAATTGGGGCCCCAACCGCTTCTAACTCACATCAACCCCAATTAAACCAAACCATCTTTTCTATCTAAAGACTTAAAATTCCACCTATAATTTAGAAAGTCTCTCATCATATCCACCTCAAATTCTTCTTGTATCCCTCAGGACCACCTGATGAGTTGAAAAAACATTTCTATAAGGAACATGTGAAATGAAAATTGGCATATTGGGTGTAGTTTTCTGTGGAGAAAAGAATGGTAGAGAGGCGAGAGAGATGGAGATATGATATAGGGTACGATGAATGCGGGCGAGAAAATGCAGAACAAAAACAACCCATCAGACAAAATATTTGAAAAATATAATATCATTTGATGATAAAAGCAATTTGACAGAAAATGAGAGATGATGAGATGAGATGGTTCTGTCAATCTGTGACTCTGACTGTGACTGTGACTGTGAATGAATGAGTGGCAGAAACAGAAAGTAACCGGCATGAGCCTCGAGGGGCTTTTAATATTTTTATTTCAGTAATTAATTAACTTACTCCCTGGACCACCACTCTAAATTCTAATCTTAATATATTAAATATATCTGTTTTATATTTTTACGTGGATTTTTTATTAAATATTAATACACATAATAATGAATTATAACGCATAGTTTTATTTTTCTTTTAATACTCTTATAGAGTTATTTGTAATTTTTGAAGATTTTTAATAATTTTATGATAATATTTCACTTACAACTGTGTCATATAAATAGATAAAAATTATATAAAATTTATGTAAAATGATTACTTTATTTTTTATTTTTTTTGTCTGTTTGTATGACTCGGTTATAAGCATAACATTACTTATAATTTTAAGGGTATAAAATGTTTTTATGATAGATAAGTTTTGTTTGTTTGGGGCCTTTTGTAGCGAGCATCTTCTAGTTTCAAAAATACGATTATAAATCTTACGTGTTTGACTTTTTTTGTAATAAACATTTGGTGGCTTTAAAAATATGATCATAATTCTCATTTTTTTATGGATCGATATTATTCTGTTTAACTTTAAAGAAAATGATATTTTTACTAAAATCTGTCAACATATTAAGAGATTAATATATTTTTTTAGAAGTAAAATTGGTGAAATTATTGATAAATTTGATGGTTGAATTAATGACAATTTTTAATCCAGTGAATACCCGTTATTAAAAGGCAAAACACATAGAGTTTATTATTAAAAAAAAAAACTTAAAAAAAACATTTTATAACAGAAATCTTGTAGAAAAAAAAATCCCAAATAAAATGTATTTCTCCAAAATATATAATCTTTTATGGAGGACATTAGTTTTATGAGTATTTAAAATTAGGTTTGCCATTTAAGGACATTGAATATATTGAATTGTCGTTTTGCCCACCACAGTAGCAGTAAATGGCTGTCTGTGACGTGTAATGTAGCAGTAGTACTATTGAGGAGGAGGATAGTTTTATAAATAAGTTAAAAAAGGAGAATGATATAATAAATAAGTAAAAGTAGGAGGGTAAATTGGGTCGAGAAAATCGAGGTGTGAGAGAGAAGAATGTATGTGGTGGACCTATGAATTACAACCCTACTTTCTCCTCCCTTACCATTTCCATTCGCTCATTTCTCGCGTCGATCTCACTTTCTCATTTTTTATTCTCTTTTTTCAAACAAATCACAAAATGCCTTTTTAATTTAATAAAAAACAATAATGATTGGAATAATTCTTCGATCAGGACGTTTTGATATTAATAGATCGGAATCATGTGTATGCTATGCATTATTGGATCGGGGTTATAAAATATAATTTTAATTCAATATAATAAATTTAATAGTAAATACATATGGTATTGAAAAAAAATACATTAAGACGTTTGACTAAAAAATGACTTTATAAAGAAGATCGGATTATGTCTCTCAATATAATTAACATATAATTCTAAATTTTAAAAAATATTATCTCTTAACATAAGCTTTTATTTTAGTAAATAAAAATTGTGTGATGGATAAGTANATGTATTTCTCCAAAATATATAATCTTTTATGGAGGACATTAGTTTTATGAGTATTTAAAATTGGGTTTGCCATTTAAGGACATTAAATATATTGAATTGTCGTTTTGCCCACCACAGTAGCAGTAAATGGCTGTCTGTGACATGTAATGTAGCAGTAGTACTATTGAGGAGGAGGATAGTTTAATAAATAAGTTAAAAAAGGAGAATGATATAATAAATAAGCAAAAGTAGGAGGGTAAATTGGGTCGAGAAAATCGAGGTGTGAGAGAGAAGAATGTATGTGGTGGACCTATGAATTACAACCCTACTTTCTCCTCCCTTACCATTTCCATTCGCTCATTTCTCGCGTCGATCTCACTTTCTCATTTTTTATTCTCTTTTTTCAAACAAATCACAAAATGCCTTTTTAATTTAATAAAAAACAATAATGATTGGAATAATTCTTCGATCAGGACGTTTTGATATTAATAGATCGGAATCATGTGTATGCTATGCATTATTGGATCGGGGTTATAAAATATAATTTTAATTCAATATAATAAATTTAATAGTAAATACATATGGTATTGAAAAAAAATACATTAAGACGTTTGACTAAAAAATGACTTTATAAAGAAGATCGGATTATGTCTCTCAATATAATTAACATATAATTCTAAATTTTAAAAAATATTATCTCTTAACATAAGCTTTTATTTTAGTAAATAAAAATTGTGTGATGGATAAGTACAAAATGAAAATATAATAACTATCATTGGGTGTTTTGATGATAAAATAGCAAAAGAAGGTTTCTTGAGCTCTTGAGTTCAAGTCTCTACAAGCCCTAATAGGGGTGGTCGTCAACTTCAGGGTCCTAGAGAATAAATTGAGGTACGTGTAAGTTGGTTCAAATACTTTCGATCACAAAATATATATATATATATATATATCAACAAATAAAATAAATAAACAAAATTGTCCACATGTCATCGAACATTTAAAACTTGAAAAAAAAAACAACCTAGGAATAATTAGGCGTGTTCAAAAAAATACAAAAACCGAACCGAACTAAAAAAATAGTTCAATTACAGTTCGAAAAATTCAAAAAACCGGATTTTCGGTTCGAAAAAAAAAGGGTTAACCGAAATTTGTTTTTTGAACCGGTTTTACAAATATATAAATATATATATATTATATTAAATAAAAAATATTTTTATTTTGAACTTTTATTTGTATCAATTTTTAATATATTATTAGTATTGATCAATATATGTATGAATGTTTAATTTTTTATTTGAATGTGTATTGTTTATATTTATAATTTAATTTAGAAAAAAATTAAAAAAATAAGTCTTATAAAAAAAAAAACTGGTTCAAAACCGGTTAACCGCTTTCAAAGTGGTTAACTAGTTTTTTGATTAACTGAAAAATCGATTATCTCTCCAAACCAGTTCAGTTCAAAAAAGAATCGATTAACCGCTTTTGAACACCCTTAAGAATAATGACCACTTTTGATTTTCAAACAATGTTTTTAAAAATCAACTAAAAGGTTAAAAACGAACACTTGTTAATCAAATAATTGTTAGTGCATTTAATAAAAATTTGATTAATTAATTAATTAGTGTTAAAAATCACGCGCCCCTTACATTGGCAAGTGAAGACATAAAATATAAAGGAACAAAGAGTGATTAGACAAGAGATAGTAAAAGGAAGGGAGAGCCGGGGCCTCTGACTCACTGAGTCTGAGTCCCAACAACTAACAACACGTCCGCCCACGATACTTGCTGCCAAACAAAACAACTCTCGGCCCCATTTTACATTGACAACTCTCTCTCTTTTTATTTATTAAACACTGTGCTCTTTGTCTCCTTTCAACTTCCATCTTTCTTTCAACTCTTAACTCCTTCAAAGCCATTGCTCAAAAGTTGTTTTTATAATCCAGGTACTAATAATTCTATTCATTTTTACCACTTTCTACATCAAATCTTATCGTTTATACTGTAAAAATTTCAATTTTTTACTGATACATTATTATTATTATTATATGTTGCTAAGATGATGCTGTAGACTAGACTGTACTACATGTCCTGAGTGACAAAGGTTTATGTTTTTTGGTTGAAGTTATGTGATTGTTGGGATGGGAAAATGGAGAAAGTTGTAAAGAGAAGTTACAAATTAGATTTTGTTGTTGAATGTAATGAAAACACCTCTTTTGTCTTGGTGGATGGAGGGGCTTATACCTCATCAGTACTTCACTCAACAGGGAAATAATTTACAAGTAAATAAAGAAGAAGAAAAAATAAATAAAGGAAAAGAAAAAGTTAAGGGGAAAGAAAGCAATTGAGGGAGAGAGAGAAAGAGAGAGGTGGGGAAGTGTGGTTTCTGTAGTGTCTTAGCCTGTCCCCCTCCCTCCCCACCCAAAACAGTTTCTCTTTCTCTTTCTCATAACAGTCTAAGTCCAAAAAGCCACCACCAAGACTGCCTTTTTTCGCCTTTTGTTTCTGTTCTTTCTATATGCAATTGTCTATGTCTGCTGCTCCCTCTTCTCAGCACCTGCAAATGGGAGAGGAATCATACTTTGAATTCCTTGTTATTATTTGATACCCTTCTCTTTCTCCTTTCTCTTTCTTTCGTCTCTATCTTTTTAGCCTTAACATGACTTTCTTGTTGTTTTCTATTCATCTTCTTGCAACCCTTCTACTGTTTTAATTAGCTTTAGGGTACCCTTCAAAAAATATGAATTTTCTTCCTATGATTTGACCTCATTTCACATTTTCTTTAGTTTTTAGCTTTGTGGGTACTCTTGTTAACACCACTTGATTACTCTCATCTCTTTCTTTTTCTTTTTCTCTTTCTTTTATTTTATTTTATTTTATTTTATTTTCAGTTACTAGATATTCTCTTTGGTGGGTTGGTTATGTAGTTGTATTTCTATTGAGAGAGAAACAGAGCGAAGAATACTATATACTTGGGGTGTTCATGGAAATTGATCTGAACCATGCAGCTACTACTGAAGTGGAAAAAATTGCATTCTGCAATGGCAACTGTGAGAAGAACAGTGGGTGTGTTCATCGTTTGTCCTCTTCATCTTCTTCTTCATGTTCCTCAAATTCAGGTTCATCTCCTTTGACTTCTTCAATTTACTTTGAGCTGTGGCATGCTTGTGCTGGTCCTCTCACTTCACTGCCCAAGAAAGGAAATGTAGTTGTTTACTTCCCTCAAGGTCACTTGGAACAAGTTGCTTCATGCTCTCCCTTTTCACCTATTGAAGTTCCCACCTTTGATCTTCAAGCTCAAATCTTTTGCAACGTTGTTGATGTCCAACTACTTGTAAGTACCAGGTTTTCTACAAAAAGTTTGGATTGTGCATTCTCATATTAGTCTCCATCAGAAGTCATAAAATTTTCCACTTATTTCTTCTTTCAAATTTGGATTTCTTAATTGTAATCTCTTGAAACAGGCTAATAAGGAGAATGATGAGGTTTATACACAGCTTACTTTGCTTCCTCAACAGGAGGTATAGTAGTTTCTTCATCTTTGTAATTAGCTCTTGCTAGTAATCTGTCATCTTTTGGATTTAAATTTCCTGGTTCTTGGTAAGTGGCAGTTGTATTATGTGATTTCTTAGATTCTATTATGTTTAACTGAAACTTCTGTTGCTTTATATTTATTTTCTGGTGTCAATTTTGGGTGTTGTATAGTTGGTAGGAATGGATAGAGAGGGCAAAGAGCTTGGAAAGTCAGGTGTGGATGAGGAGGGAGATGGAGGATCACCTACAAGATCAACCCCCCATATGTTCTGCAAAACACTTACAGCTTCTGATACTAGCACCCATGGAGGCTTCTCTGTTCCTCGTAGAGCCGCCGAAGATTGTTTCCCTCCCCTGGTGTGATGTTAATCTTTTATGTCCTTGTTTTTTGGCAACTTAAATGATTAGATGCAGTTGAGAGTTTCTTGTGAAAATGATGGTATTTCCTTTGCTTCAGGACTATAAACAGCAGAGGCCATCTCAAGAGCTTGTTGCAAAGGACTTGCATGGAGTGGAGTGGAAATTTCGACACATATATAGAGGTAATATTGATAAAACATTGAGACTTGGGATCAATTGAAGGAGAAATAGATGTAATCAATGTTTATAACCTTTTAGGTCAGCCAAGGCGACATCTGCTTACTACAGGATGGAGTATCTTTGTGAGCCAAAAGAATCTTGTTTCTGGGGATGCAGTGCTCTTCTTGAGGTAAAATAATTAAGATTTTAATGATGAACATAAAATCCCACCCGGTAACCTTCTCATTTTTTCTTAATTGGAGATGAAGGCACTATTGTCGTTCTAAATTTAGCAATTAGTAAGGAGAAAAGAATTTGTACTTAGGAAATAATCACTCCTGCAGAATGTGAAAGTAACATTTCCAAGCAATGTCCAAATGTATCGAGTGTTTCCACCATTCATTAAGTTAAATCTGAGCTATCTTTTTACTGTTTTCTTTGTAGGGGGGAAGATGGAGAGCTGAGATTGGGAATTAGGAGAGCTGTTCGACCTAGAAATGGTCTTCCTGATTCAATTCTTGCAAAGCAGAACTCCCACCCAAATATTCTTTCTCAAGTGGCTAATGCAGTATCAACGAAGAGCTTATTTCATGTTTTCTACAGTCCAAGGTAATTGACATTGTCTGTTCAAATAAAGGAAAATGTTGATGGTGACACTTTTACTCCTTTGGTTACGTTGTGGTATTTTCATCTCGGCTTGATGACTGTAAATAGTTCCTAGGTCTGCAGTCAGTATCCAATGGATTTATTTTAGTTCACTCCCAAGCTTTGATTTTTAATTTAGTACATTTGAATAGTTAAGATTCAATTTAAGTTTTGTCAATGCCAGAGTGTATTAGATGTAGAAATTGCATGGAATCTCAATCATGAAAGCATGTATGTCTAATGGCTCTGAGATAATATCAAATTTGTGTAAAAAAGGTGGTTCTCTTGAACTAGAGAACATTTTATTGATTGATTAAGCGGATGTTGGAAGACATGGTTGCCACTCATAGTTTTTAATCGGAAATGTAAGATAGAGAAATGTCTCAGTTTTCTAAGAGTTTGTAGGAGCTGAGAAATAGAATAGGGAATCAATAGCAAGAATAGTAAAGGTTTTTGCTGCCTCCTCTCTGTAAAATGGGTTGGAGCTTACGTTATTTTTTTTTTTTTCCAAATCTTAGTGACACAAAAACAGCTAATGCAACCCTTTTGACCCAACAACCGTTGGAATTAGTTGTAGGAAGTTAAAATGGAAAAGAGAAATCTACAGGCTTCTCTCCATTTGTTAGTCTGGTTTCTCTGTTTATCTCCTTTGCCGTCTTTGGTTTTTACCTTATCTGTTTGGGGGTTTCTCCTATTCTTTCCGTTAAGTTTCTTGAGAAGAAAAGTAGGGCATGGTACTACAAACCAATTGCTCATTTACTCAATCCAGCTTAATAACTTTTTTCAATTTTGCTTAGAATTAATTTTGTCATGATCTGATGTTGGATCTCATTCATATTTCATGCTGCTGCTGCATACTTACACTATCTTAGTGATTGTGTAATGCATTTTCACTTCTCTATATGCTTTCCAAGTATTTCAAACATAATTTCAATTGCTTCTTAAATGGTCCTATCCACTTCTCTTTGATGCTTCTTCAGTACATCTTCTAGAACTTTCTTGTGCAGTCGTAATCATTAATTTCCTCTAACTCTGTAAATATTGGAGGAATATTAATATTCTTGGGCTAATGACTAGGATAAATGGAATCAAAAGATGTTTTATTTGAAAATTGTAACGTTATAGATTTAGGGAAGCTTGTAAATATTATGGATAAATATTTGATAACTTTAATCAAATACTTGCTCATACATGCCTGAAGAATGGCTTGGTGGTTTTGATGCCTCTTGGCTCATTTCTCTTGACAAAACGCGAGCTGAAATAACAAAGCTAAAACAAGCTAGTATTTCCAAGAAGCCCAATGGAACAAGTGAATGCTGGAAGCTTTATGAGCTGGTAGTGAGGTTTGGAAGTGGACCTTAAAAATACCTAGAGCTCATGCAAACTAAAGTCATTACAGAATGATTAAAACTATCTACACTTTCTCCCCTCAAATGATAGAAGTATGCAATTATTGAGAAAAAATATTTTAACTTTCTTCTGGGTGAAAAACTGAACTAAAAAATATACGCTGGGTTAACAAGAGAATTTAAGTTTTTGTAATGTTGAATGCAGGGCCAGTCATGCTGAGTTTGTCATACCCTATCAAAAGTATATGAAGAGCATCGCAAATCCAATATGCATTGGAACAAGATTCAAAATGAGATTTGAAGTGGATGAATCACCAGAAAGAAGGTCTGGTGCAAATTTATAAAATATTATGGATATAAAATATTTTAACTGGTAAAGAATATGGTATAATTTCTGCTTTCTTGCAGGTGCAATGGTGTCGTGACTGGAATGGGTGACTTGGATCCTTATCGATGGCCAAACTCAAAATGGAGATGCTTAATGGTGAGCTTGTAGTTATGCTTCCAGTATCAAGGATTGCAGCATCCCAATGTTTTTACATTGTGCAACCATTTCACTTGGGAGATCTTGCATCCTTTTTTATTTTTATTTAATTTTTTCAAATCTGTCTGTATACTTTCTATTTCTTATTCCTGAAAAAAAAAAAATTGTTACGTTTTACGGATGCATAACTGTTCAAAGTTTGTACTTATTTTAATCATAATCCTTAAATTTCTGGACAGGTCCGATGGGATGAAGACATTGGGAGTGATCATCAAGAACGAGTTTCCCCCTGGGAAATCGATTGTTCTGTTTCTCTCCCACCCCTGAGCCTTCAGTCCTCCCCAAGGATGAAGAAACTGCGGGCAGGTCTCCAGGCTACCCCACATGACTACCCTGTCACTGGTATATATGGTTCAATTTTAGATAACAAAATCAGCATCATAGTATTTGGCTATTTATTATAATCACTGATTTTATGCTGCAGGAGGGGGTCGATTTTTGGACTTTGAGGAGTCTGTCAGATCCTCTAAGGTCTTGCAAGGTCAAGAAAATGTAGGTTTTGTATCACCCTTATATGGTTGTGATACTGTTAACCACCCGCTGGATTTTGAGACGCGAACTCCTGCGCGTCAAAATCTTGCATTAACTGGAATAGGAAAAGGTAACGTTAATGAGTTTATGAGGGTGCACCCCACCACTTACACAGGCTTTATGGAATCCAATAGGTATCCAAAGGTCTTGCAAGGTCAAGAAATATGCCCGTTGAGATCCCTGACCGGAAAAGTTGATCTCAGTCTAGGCACATGGGGTAAACCCAATCTTGGTTGCAATTCTTTCAGCATGTATCAAGCAGCCAAGCCCAATTTCTATGCATTACCATCAGAAAGTCTTCAAAATATGTATTTTACTTATGGTGACATGCAGAAAACGGGCAAAAATCCCACAATGCCCCCTTATGGTAATAACTTCCCAAGAGAAACTGTCCAATTCAACTCTTCTTCCATCCAGACAGGGCTCATTGGTGAAGAGGTTAGAAAGCCAAATCTACTGAACGAGCATAAACCACCAGAAAGTCTTCCTATGCCTACGACTTTTAAGACTAATCTGAGAAATAAGAAAGATGGCAGCTTTAATGGAGCAGTGGCAGGATGTAAACTTTTTGGTTTCTCGCTGACTGCGGAAACACCCGCTCCAAGTTCACAAAGCACTGGTAAGAGGAGTTGTACGAAGGTAAGTATATTAGCTTCAAGTCAGACAAAACTTGCTACTTTTCAGTTTTTGTTTCAACTGTCTGCTACTGATCTTACAAAATTGTGTGAAGGTTCACAAACAAGGAAGCATGGTTGGAAGAGCAATTGATCTCTCAAGACTCAATGGCTATGGTGACCTGCTAAGTGAACTTGAACAACTATTCAATATGGAAGGCCTTCTACGAGATCCTGATAAGGGATGGCAGATCTTGTACACTGACAGTGAGAACGACATGATGGTGGTTGGGGATGACCCTTGGCAGTAAGTATCTCTAATATTAATTGTCTCTTATCATCTGTCCTGTTCAATCTCTGATAGAAATTGTGTCCAACCTCAAGATCTTTTTTCTAAAACAAGTTTCTGCATTAGAAACAATTTCTTTAAGTTTTCCCTTTTATCCATTAATCAGATTTTTATCTATACTAAGACTTGCAAGGCGAGCATATGGGATTATTATTCCAAAGTGCATATCTGAAAAAAAAAAAAAAAAAAATTTGACTTCGTGCATTTCTTTTAGATATATTTATTCATTGAACCCCCAAGTTTATAAGTTATCATAGTTGTGAATTGAGAGAGAGAGACAATATTGGAAAGTATTTTCCAAAATACAGAAATGAGTAACTGATTTGTGAAGCCTACCCTAAGTTTTAGAAATCCTGTAAAGAAATGCAGTATGCATTGTAGTTCTGTAAATTGTACAGAGAAGTAAGAATCATTTGTATCTTTTGCATGAGAGGTAGCCAACAGACAATCTAAAAGATATTTATGGTTAAAATACATGCAAAGAGAAGAATGGAAGGGAATAGGTTATGTAGAATCACACAGTATCTTTAGTAGTTACCTTACGAAGAATTTTTATTTTAGGAATGTAGATATGTAAGTCCTGTTTTACCTATATCTGATTAGATTTTTGATATTTTCTTATGATAGTAAGATACTAAGATTAAGGTTTTCTGTTAGCTTGTTGAGCCACTATTATAAATAGAAGGTTTATGCTGTTTCAAAAGAAACTTGATGCAAAATTGAAACGATGATGAAAATTAGCTCTTTGGACCCTGGCATTTACATGTGACTTTTCCTGGTATCAGTGACTTCTGTAATGTGGTGTCCAAGATCCATATATATACCCTAGAAGAAGTGGAGAAGATGACGATTGGAATGACCGACGATACTCAAAGTTGTTTGGATCAAGCACCTGTGGTAATAGAAGCTTCAAAGTCTTCGTCGGTGGGCCAGCCAGATTCTTCTCCTACAGTAATAAGGGTTTGAAAGTTTGGCATAAAGTTTTATATGTTGCGTGTACAACCTATGGATTCTGAACCTAGTTGAATGTCTTGTATGGCTTTAGTGTGTATCTCTGTGCTCTTCCATTATCGATATTACAATACAGTTGTTAAACTCTGTTTGAACTGGTGCTTTCTGTTCATCAGCCGCACGTAGCACTAAAGCTAGTAAATGAATGTGTGGTGGAATAATAATTCATTCAATGTGTCACTTTTGAGATGTTCTAAATAGTGTAAATTGTTAGTGATTCTGCATAGTGCTTGACTGAATTACTGTAATTCAGTCACAATGGGGCAAGTGGATGTGAAAAACGTTGATTTTGTTCCCTACCAAATTGTAATTCTGAGTTGAATGTAGGGTTATCTTTGAATATTTTCTTGCAAGGAGCACCGCAGGCTTTTCAGATTTTAGCAAAAGACGAAGCAGGGCTTGTTTCAGAACTTTACAAAAGTAGGTGACTACTAAATAGTAAATACTAGTGGGCGTTTCGTTTCATGATGAGAGGGATAAGGCGATAAGCTTCAAAAGAATGATTCAGAAAAGCACCCGCAAGAGCAGGGATTCATTAACAGATGCCAGAATTAAACACTATAATACTGGTCCCAGGAAAATAATCAACAAATTTAACCAACCACTCGAACCCCATTACTTTTTTTTCTTTTTCATTCCTGAAACCTTATCTCGTTTTGGATATCATCAGTGAAATTTACAAAATACAAACTTTTGTCAATTTTATTAAACAAATAATTCTTTAAACAAAGCCTTCAGAAGGATATTATCACTTTCAACAGGCCTCTAACAAACAGTTGACCGTTAATATCTATCAGCAAATCCTGAACTATAGGCTACGGGACCATGGTAAGATCTTTTTCAGAATTTGTAGCTATGTACTACATATGTATCTATACACAACTACATACTGTATATGTTTTTTTGTGATCGGAGATATCCGGACTAGTTTACTGGTATCTTGACTAATTTTTAGGATCCTGAACTATAATTTATTCTCAATAGATAATGCCTTCATTTTTTTTTTTTTATGATAAACTGGAATTGTACTGGAGTTGATGAAGTAGTTAACGATGGAACAGTCTGAATAAATTTCAACTCCAATTTAACCACTCTTTACTCGTCTTTATGAAGTCCAACAACACTTAACAATTTTTCAGGCAAGTTAATATGTGACAGTGTGTGAAATTCATTGACCCACACAAACCTAAGTAGTGAGCAACTATGGAAACCGACACAAACCTTAATACTGAGTTATTGTGGCAAATTCATCAATGGAAAGCAGTCGGTTGGGTAAATTGGTTGAGTTTTTGTGTTTTATTTTTAGTATTAAGACTATTGTTAAGTGGGGCTTTTTCATACCAGAAAAAAATGGTCGGTTCTTTTAAGTGATGTGGGAGCCAATACCTCTACTATCTGAAAAGTCATAAATTCTGGGCTCAGGCCCCTTTTTTCAACCAAAAAAAAGCAGGTCATAAATTGAGCCATGAAAAAAGCAACATTTTTCACATTGATCCTATAAAGCATAATCATTTTCGTTCAGGGAGTTCCACTCGTTGTTTACACGGGCAAGGGACCCTAACTCAATAAATAATTTACAGATTTTTGCTTTTTATGTAGAGCCCTTCTGTGCACACCTACCATTATTTTGTCCTTCACTTTCAATTTTTATGGCCGGCAATCAATACTACCTATCAAAGCACGGCATATAATTCAACTGATGAGCAATGACATTTCAAATTCAAGCTGTTGAAAACTCCTAAACGCAGCGTTTGCCATGCTTACTAAAGCTTTAAACTTTAATTAAAGCATTATGAGGTGGAACTGGAACTAGATTTGGGGATGGATCATTCACTAAAAGCTCTTGCCTAAATTATGAAGTGGGACTGACACTCCTTGCACGTTCTTCTTCTTGAAACAATCTAGAGAGTAATACGAAATCAAACAAGTAAACAAACAAAAATATTAAACTAGTAAAGAGAAAGAAAACAAGCACCGTTTACCTGATTCACCCAATTAACAGGCTACGTCCAACAGAATCAATATTATTAGAATATTGTTTCACCTTTTGAGTTACAATAAATGTATTTACCTATGATTTACTATTATACTCATATAAGAGAAAAAAATAAGTTTGTATACAAGAGAAAAATAAATTATGAAGTGGGACTCCGAATGCGTTTGCTTCGCCCCTAATTGTTGAACTTAGTTCAACAGATTAAATTTAATGACTGATAGAGATCTGAATTCTTTTATGTTTTTAAGTAACTGATTTATCAAAGATAGAATATCAAATTGCAGTGATGATCAATAAAAAATATTAAGGAGTTGGAATAGATTGAAAAATTTTATTTTCTATACAGTCAATAAAGCAGTACAAATTTATTAATTTGGTGATTATCAGCATATTTCTTTCTTTAGATGATAGAAATTCTCATTTCAGAATTAGTATGAGAAATTGCCCAAGTGATGATTCCAAGAAGACATGTATAAATTGGCTCCCCTCACTCCTGCTTAAAAAGCTCACGGCCGATGATCATTCTTCTAATCTCACTGGTGCCTGCCCCAATTTCATATAGTTTGGCATCTCGAAGAAGCCGGCCAGTTGGGTACTCATTTACATAGCCATTACCACCTAAACATTGTATAGCCTGGAAAGTTGAATGCAAACTCATCAATTTTTTTTTTTTTTTATCGACAACATCTTGCAGGACTTTCACCATTTATATGATGTTAAGTAAGTTGAAGAGAACTCCAAATTTAGTGAATGCACAAACAAAATGATAAGAGTTAAGACTATAAAAAGATGCAGGTTATTTTACCTGTAGAGCAACTTGGGTGGCTCTTTCAGCTGCACAAAGTATTACTCCAGCACAGTCCTGAAAATTGTATTCACAGAAAGGAAATATTCTTCATATTTTACCATTACGGATGGAACAAAAGCAAAGAAGAAAAGACTTAGATTCTCAGGACACCTTGGGGTCAACTTTTCCACTGTCACAGTCCCTGGCAACGGAATAAACATAGGACCTGAAAGGATGAATATTGTTAAGTGCTGCCATGAGAAATATTTAACTTAGAAATCGATGTATTATCAAATCAGAGTCCTGTACCTTGAAGATTGTAAAGAAGTATACATGTCTGCAATTTTCCCCTGTAACAAAATAGCAGGTTAAGAACACCAAGGGGGCTATGATTCCAATGTAAGCACCAAAGAAAAATCATCAGAATGGTAGCAAATGCAAGTAGTAATTTCAAACCTGTATAAACTGAAATTCCCCAATTGGACGACCAAACTGCTCTCGTTGTCTAACATAAGGAAGAACAACATCAAGGCATGCCTGCATAATACCAAGGGGTCCACCCGCCAAAACAAGTCTCTCCAAATCTAGTCCAGACATCATAACATAAACTCCTAAAGAAAAGAAAAGATTGAATCAGATTATTCTGCAAGTTTGATGTGATGGATGTAATTGATTCTTCATTAAACAGTTGAAGCACAATCATAAAAACTTAGTACTGATGATTAAAAAGAATAAATAAAAAAAGGGAGAACTCAGATTCAGTTCTTGTGCTTCTCCAATAACATGCATTAAAATGAACAAGACAGATTATGATGTTTGTGGATGGCAGAACAGATGGTGGGTTCTTACAACTTAAAAGATAAGCTGATAACTGACACTCTAAAGAAGTTCAAAGTAACATACATAATAAAACTTCTATCAGTTTCTTCCTTAAATTGTAAGGCTGGAAGCAACTAACCCTTCCTCTCTTTTGCCTACAGTATATGCCATCAATCTTTCAACCCGAGTAGCAAAAAGAGTGGTTTAGGCTGAGAGGGAAGGGAAGGTCTTGTACTAAAGAGTTTACCAAACAACAAAACCGAAGAAAAGATAATAAAAAAGGAGAAGAAACACAACAGGGAATATAATATCTCTTTCAAGGACTATATAATACAGTTTTGAGAAGAGTTCAAATACAAGGAACACAATTATTTGAAAATTTTCTATACAGTCCTTTAAACTCCACAAACCTTCTCAAGTTTACTCATTTTAAATTTACAAGAACAATATCCTAGAATTCCTATGTAGAACCTGAGGTTGCACTATAACAGTACTATGAAACGAGATACTTCTAACAGTAAGTTTTGGCATCCTAATACTTCAAAAGGTACTCAGATTGATCAAATAAAATAAAAAATACTAGTGCAATAATTTTTCACCTATTGTCTTTCTTTTTAATTACAAAACCTCAACGGATTCTTGGCATGTTGTCATTCATTTTAACCATACATCTGATTTCACTTAGATCATCTCTATATTGTGACTGTAACAAAAATTTGAAATTCAATGTAACGCAAAACCTTTTCCTTCCTGCCCAAGGATGTTTTCGTCTGGAACAAAGCAATTCTCAAAGACTAGCTCACATCTGCACATATAATCTGTATTATTAGTATGAAGGAGGGTGAAGAGTAGGGACAGGCTCCAAAACCAAAAAGTTTACTTTAAAGCATTAGACATACGTATCGCTTCCTCGCATCCCGAGCTTGTCCAGTTTCTGAGCAGTACTGAATCTGCAGAACCACAAGAAACCTGGTAAAAATCAACAATTCAATTAATCTAAGGAGGTCACATCTGTTTATTTGAATATATTTAGGTTAGATTGGCGTTAAAAAATAAACATAATGAAATTTGTGTCATTTGTTTATAACACAATATTTAAATGAATATTTTTCAGAAGACTTTATCCTTAGAGAACTGTCTCGACCTTTTTATACTGTTAGAATGGAAAAAAAAAATGAACACTTTCATCCCATTTGTTGTCTTGAAGCCACTTCTTCATTACATTTGTATCACGTTTAGCTGAGTTGAGCATATATTCTATCATTCCAATCCATAAACAATTGTAGTGGGTCCTCCAACGTGTGGCCTTCAATTAATTTGAGCAAATGACAGTGGTGGTTATCAGTTTAAGCATCATCTTAACAGCTAGTTGCCAGGCTCATTGATAGAATTATTCATTGAAACTAATCTGTGCACCCCAAGTCGATTGCCCATCCTTCGACGGACAGTAATACAACAAAATTTGAGTTTATTAAATTTGCTAAAAGTGTTCAAGAAAGTTGTTTATGACTTGATCATTTTAAATAGCCAACCAGTAAATTAGCTTTGGTGCAATTACCCAGGCATTCCCTTCTCAATGATAAATGC